TTCCTGCCATTGCTGTACCAGACATCCTCTGGTGTGATGTTATTTCAATTAGCACACAAGACTGAAGAAACTGAATCTGACCTGAGCTTAATGCAATAATCTTCTGTGCTAATTTGGCCAATTTCTAGCAAATTGTCCTGAAAGTAAAGCACAAATGAATGGAAATCTGTTATCACAAATCCAAAAGAGAGGATGCACAAAGGTAAAAGTGTTATAAATTAAGAAAGAACCTTGACCTCCTAATAATATGCTTCAGACTGAATCCATGGTGATTTTATTGGAATATAACGTGAGATTTGAACACATCGATGTCCGAAAGGTCATTTTTTGTTACACTGGCATCAGCTCAATATGAACAAAAGTGATATTAAGTTTAAACATGGATAGCACAGTATTTACGTAGAGTTATTTCTGTGGTTTACATTTTACCGAGGAAGTCCTTTACCTGTCTGATACTCCTAACACAAGGCCTCCATCCCCCGAAGACACCTATTCCTCCAGGAAGGGCCCATTCAACTGCTCCAACTGCCCTGTTCAGTGCATGACCTCATCACAAGCTGCTGGAGCTCCCAGCGCAAATGCTCAAGCTGCACTCCTTACTATTGCCACTTGCTGCTGGAGGTGTTATATTATTGTGAAATTAATTCACACTCACTGCACAATTGCAGCTTAAGGAAAACTATGATGCTTGTTGAGCCCATGTTAAATAACTGCTAATAAATAAAGACGCAACCTCATGGAATTAAATGAGAGAAATAAAAAGGGGAGCCATGATGCTTGCAGCTACAGAATGGCTCATTAAACCATTCAAAGTATCTTCCCTACATGTGGCTTCTCAAGAAACCTTGTGCTGATTTTTATAGGTTATCTATATACAATCTAATCAAAGATGAGGATATTACTTGAGCAAAAGTTTTTTGTTCCATTTTATTAGGTTGTTGTTCTTACTTAGTATTCGATTGCAGCTGTGTTCAGACTTATCGTCTGGTGTCATGAAAAGCATCTCATAATGGACTTTTTTGCAAAATGTCTTTTTAGCTCGACAGATATTATAATCAGTTCTGTTAGATATGACCATTCAATAACTTTGCAAATTTGTTCAGAAATTCCACTAAGAGATATTCATTTTGAATGAATATATGTTGCATATTAAATGTTTCAGTTCAGCATCTTGCAATTAAACACTTTATCAGCTACTGCAGACAGTACGTTACACATCGCTACTTGCAAATGAAGAAGATTTGCTTCTTTAACCAGAGAAGTGCATGCTATTAATGCACGGTATGGGGTAGTTATCCATTCCTACACTTTATGATCAGCTGTGGCTGTGTGCAACTTCGACATAATTGCATTTCTGTTGAAGTATGCATCAGCCAAAGTATGGGACTATCTTCAGAGTGCAGGGAAAATGGTGAGCTGGGCCAATGTGCAGATTTCGCCCAAATTTATACAAAGCAGCACTTAATTTAATAGCAAAAGAAATAATGTTGAAGATGTCCAAGATTTTGGTTGTTGTACCAACTACAGCTTTACATATCTCATACAAGATGGAAATTAGAGACATGGAAATATATAATGAATAAATAGTTGGATAACATTGTAAAGAGCAGCCATGATAGCAACCAACACAGTACAATTTAAGTTTGTTATGGAAAAAGATAAAGATGGTCTATAAAAAAAAAGTTTTGTAATAGGTGAAGGCAGATCCTATTAAAATAAGGCAGGGTCTGGTTGAAGTAGCTGGGAACAGCAACTTGTGGGAAACTCTACAGCAGATCAGAGGGATGGGGGTGCAGGTGGAAAACTTGAAAAAGTAAATACAGTGAGTACATGCCCAATATTGTTCCTTCAGGGCTGTAATGTAGGAGCAACAAACCCAGAGAACCCTGGCTGTTTTGACATATTGGAGACTGATAAAGAAAGTAAATGCAGGATTCAGGGTAACTTCGTAAGTTGGATCTAAGATTGGCTTAGTGGTGAGAGACCGAGGGTGGTGGTAGAAGTCTGTTTGTATAACTGGACGCCACTGTTCAGTGGCATACCATTGGCATCAGTGCTGGGTCCCTTACTGTGATGAGAATTTGCGGGAATTGATATGTAACTATGCAGATGACACAAAGATTGGTTGGATGGTTATTAGTGAGAGTGTTTGGTTACAGGAAGATAGAGAAGGTTTGATCAGATGGGCAGATCATTGGCAGAAGGAATTTAACGCTGAAAAGTGTGAGTTGATACACTTTGGAAGAAGTAATAAGTGTTCAACAAATGACAGGAAACTGGAAAGCTCAGAGGAACAGAGATCTTGGAGTATTTGTCCACAGATCCTTGAAGGTGAGAGGATAGATTAATAGGATAGTTAAGGAGGCATTTTATCTTGCTTTTGTCAGTCATAATGAGGATTATAAGAGAATGGAGGTTATGCTGGAGATGTATAAAACTTTGGTTAGTCCACAGCTGGAGCATTGTGTATAGTTCAGGTTGCCTCACTATTGGAAGGATGTGATGCAGAGGAGAGGGTGCAGAGGAGCTTCATCAGGTTTTGGCTATGAAGAGAGGTAGGAAAGACTCAGGATGTTTTCCTTAGAGTAGAGAAGGCTGAGGGGAACCTGACGCATATAAGATTATAAGAGGCATGGACAAGGCGCACAGAAGCAGTTACTTCAGGCCGATGTCAAAGGAAGCATAATTTTCAGGTGAAAGGTAGGGGAATTTGAGGAAAGGTTTGTTTAACCAGAGATTGGTGGGAATGCAGTATCTATGTACAGGTGAGGAATCTCACAATCTTCAAAAAGTACATGGATGAGTAGTTGATATATCATAACATTTCAGACAATGGGTTAAGTGCTGGAAATTAGTTTAGACAGGTTGGTGCAGACTCAATAGGCTGAAAGGCCTCTTCTGTACTGTCTATCTGCCCCTCTCTCTCTCTCTCTATGTTAAATAAATGTTTAAAATTGTGCATTTCCTAAGACAGATATTATGTTTGGACAGATATAAATTTTCAAGATTGTTTACTTAGTAAAACTCTTCAGGAAGCTGGTAAATTAGCAACACAAGAGCACATAATGTGAATTATCACTAGAAGAATGAAAGGGAATGGTTAAAGTCAGCAGTCATGGTAATGAGCATAGCTTTAATAAACAATCCATGAGATTCATAATCAGGAATGTAGCATGGAGATTTAATGGGCTGATTACCTTCTTTATCATTCATTATGATGAGATCAGTAAGATAGAGAAAATAGCTGTTCATTCAAACTTTTAGCAATAAATTCATATTTTACTATGTTCTGTTTGTTGCTTAATGGAATTGATACAATTACACATTTTAGAAAAATAAACAGTCTTTTGATTAAAAAAAAGTCTGTACCCATCATTTCTTGCATGTTCTTGTTGTTAAAGATTTGCCATGACATGTGTGTGCATGTACAATTCTGGAGTGTGTCATAGCAGATGTCATATTGATGAAGCTGTTAGCATGTGTGTAGTGACTGTATACCAGAGGTTATGCAGAGTAACCAGATTATGATGTCAATCTGTTGGTAATACTGATATGAAGCCATGGCTGCTATTTTGGAGCAGTTAATAACATCTCTTAACGATGTGCGACAGAACATGTGTCCAGCAACAGTTGGACAGCCCGTTATCAATATGTAAAGGATCGTCAGCTACTTTCATATTAGTTGCTGATTGAGTCCTGTAGCCAGTTGCTACTTTTGTACGACTGGTGATTTTTGAATTCTTCAAACTAACTTATGTCAATAAGGAGTGGTCAGGCAGGTCCAAAAGGACTTTGCCTTGATTTCAAGGCTTCTGTACGTTAAACTAAGTGTGAGCCTTCCGAAAAGGAGGTAATGCAGAGGTCATGCTGGCATTCCAGTTGGCAATTGAGATCCCATTACTTCTGCCACAGTCTACCAACCTCTATTTTCAAAAGGATTCCCATCACCTGCTCCAGCTACAATACAGATGCAGATTGGTTTTAAGTGCATTGGACTATCTTTAACTTGTTTTAGTGCTTCACAATTCTAGGCTCCTTGCTGAGGTATACAACTATATTCCCCTGTGTAGTTAGCATTTGTTGCGCACATTACACCATACTCATGAACAGCAGCACAAAATGAACTTGCTGCTTATATCATAGGCATAGAGGAATCATACGTCACAAATCTCAAATGCCATTTTCGGATGCTGCCCAATTAAGCCCCTTTGAAACTATATTGCTGAGACAAAATCCTGGAACTCCCTTCCTACAGCACTGTGAGTGTACCTTCTACAGTGTTTCAAGATGTCAGCTCACCGCTACCTTCTCCAGGGCAAATACTGATGAACAATAAATGTTATCCTAGCCAGCTATACCCACACCGCATGAAAATGAAGAAGGGTCTAGGCCCGAAACGTCAGCCTTCCTGCTCTTATGATGCTGCTTGGCTTGCTGTGTTCATCCAGCTCTACACCTTGTTATCTCAGATTCTCCAGCATCTGCAGTTCCTACTATCTCTAAAAGGAGGTCCCGGTTTCCAAGCGTATAAAGTAATCCACACCAGAGAATCTGTGACTAAATCTCCCCAGGATATTCGATCAACAAATTCAAATTTGGAATATTCGACAAGTGGGCATTGGAAGGTCTGCCAAAGGCTTTACCAGACTTCAGAGGATTATTTTAAAATGTCATTAACTTTAAAACCAGTCAGGGAGGATGACTCTGCATGTGGTGTTAATGGGTTAATTAGGGGTACATATTTCAAATTATGATTGTCTTTAGCAGATTTATTTTGAGTTCAAAGCATCTTGAATGCACCATTATTGTTTTAATTGCAGTTATCTTCAGACAATTTGATTACTACTGCAGCTGCTTTTTCCATTTTTTTTACACAAAAGCCTTTTAGTTGTCAGGTAAAATAATATATACGTTTGATTCCAGTGTTGCAGCTTGTAAAAAGTTTTGGTAGACAAGGTTGAGTTCAAAGATAAGCACTGTAATCAATTTTCTCTTTCCAGGTTTTCAGGCTGTGTTGCCTAATCAGCAGCAAGGGTTCCAGGGTCTGATGGGAGTGCAACAGTCATCACAGAGTCAGAACCTGTTGAATAACCAGCAGGGAAATCAGGTGCAAGGGCTGATGGTCCCATATCCAGCCATGTCTTCTTACCAAGTAGGTTATCACTCGCAGCCTTGATGTCTTTCTTTTGCTCCTCCAACCTGTTTGTTTAGAGAGTTAGAAAAGCTATACAAATAAGACAGACCACTGTGGTGTTCATGTAATTATTGGTTGAACAAGTAATATGTAACATGTTGCATACTGTGATGGTCCACTACTAATAGCCAAGCTTACAATGTGGGACTTTGTCGTGCAGTAGTAGTGGAACGATGAGCAGCAGTAGGCAGTTCAGCCAATTGATCTCATCTCAGCCTGAGCTACACTGTCCTGCACGCTTTCCATAGTTCTTTAATCCATTTCGGTTATCAGTCTATCTCCTTCCTCATCGTATCCAGTGTCCTGGCATCCACCACACTTTGGGATAGTGAATTCCATAGATTCACGACTCAATCAGAAAAGTAATTGCTCCTCATCTCTGCAGAATTCTACCTGTTACAGAGATGTATTGTAACATCTCTGAACAGGTTAATTAAAAATATTCACAAAGTAAGCTTATGTTTTGTCCTTATGCAGAAAATAACTGTTGCCCTGTTATAATTGCCTTATTGTAATTATTAATGCTCAATCTACTGTTAAAGAAGCAGCCATGACAACCCCTGTTACATTCTGCTGAATGAATGCCCAAAATCTAATAGCACTGCCAATTTACCTTGATAAATGTCATTCAGGATGAATATAATATCTAATACTGAATTAAATCTCAAAACAAGATCTATTTACTAATTCCTAAACATTGTTTTACTTTTGATTTAATGAAAAATATTTGTCTTGGTTTCATTATTCCTATATATTTTATATTTTTTCACTTTTGAAGACACATGCAACCTCTAAGTTACTGACATTAAAGTAACTAGAATTTTTGGCAGTTTTTCTGGTCATTAAGTAGTTGATTTCTGCATAAGCATGTGTAGCATGACCTTAATGTAAGTGTTGGTATACCAAAAAGACTTATTTCCAGATAGCAAACTGCACAAAATGGTATCTGACAAACGTATTAAAAAATGTGTAAATTGACTGCCAAATGAGGTACTTTGTCAACATTAGGAATCTGCTAGCTCTAGTTAACGCAATTTTATCAGAAACTTTGCTAATAAAGCTTGAGCTTACCCCACTGCCTGTAATGTTTTAGTCAAAAAATACATTTGCTAATCAGATTAAACCTTCTAATCCACAAATCTAACCCTTTTTGTATGCCTATGTTATGATGCTCAGGTTTAATAATGACCTTTTAGTTTTTGGTTGAGATTTTCCCTTCTGTGGCGCTGGAGAGAAGGGGAAATAATTTGCCCTGAATAGAAACTCATCCCCTTCTTGCCAGCTCACAAATTAAGTTCTGGGCAAAAAGATCCATCGGTGATCTTCCTGAACGGCCATCAATAAAGGCTGTTAGGGGTCAATTAATGGACACTTAAGACATTCAACTCATCACATCCTGATCACCTACCTCTCCAATGGGTAATAAGTTGTTGACTTTGTTTCATGGCTGGGAAACCATAAAGACCTGGGATGAGAGGGGGCCTCTGATTGTCCCAATCTGGGGGAAACAGAGGCATAAATGGAAGGGCAACTTGCCCTTGCCTCCAAACCCTGAACTCCTCTCTATAAATGATCCCAACCTGGTAAAAAGAGTATTAAAAATATACTTAGCTTCTCCCTAAAGGATCCCCATGGAGTAAGCTTCTACTGACAGGCTTTAAGACCCTGAAGCTACTGGTCTCTGACTGCCTGGTCAGCTAGGTTGCTAGTCTCCACCCAGGCTCATCTATCAACATATAATGAGCTGATTGGTGGGCAATTGATGAGTTTTCAGCAGTGGGGGTGGCATGTTAGTCACCACTTAATTGCTCACCCCCAGACTCGAACAAAAAAAGGGAGAATTCCGCACTGATCAATGTACTTACAGATCTAATAATTCATAGCAACAAGACAGAAAAATAATCATTCCAGAATCATAGTTTAAGATTATGAGGTGCTTTTGCCTAACAAAAAATGCACTTTTTTTTTGGAAAGTTTTGTGTAAAACTGTGCAAGCAACAGAACTTGTGGATGAAAGAGTCTTCTGTAGACTGTCATAATAAGCTGTTATATGTATATGATGTATACTATATCCAGAGTAATCCTCAAATTCGGATATCCATATAGAACTAGAATCTATGGGAGAATTCCCCAGATTTATAAAGTCCAAAAACTTCTAAAGACAGATATTTGAATTGTCTTGATGAAGAATATTACATGGCCTGATTATAAACAGAGATTTATATTAGTGTCTCCCTTTTTCGTTAACATTTTGGCTATGCATAATTTAATTAGCACATTGAAGAAAGGTCCTCTATCCTAACTAATTTATGACATGATCAACTTGTCCAAAATCAGGAACTGATTTTCAATTTGTCATCTGGACATAAAATTGCTGGGATGGATTAGCTACCCTGCATGGAAACAAGACTGTTGTCATTTCTATTAATAATTGAGAGGTATGTATAATGGGATGTTAATTGCAACAGCAGTTTCATTACCAACGTCCCACCTCACCAGGCAGCTATTTGAGAGTTTCAAGTTTAACCTTCAGTTGTTATACTTTTATTTTAGGTTCAGCAACTTTAATTACTGGAGAACATAAAGCAAGAAATCCTTATTTCTCAAATGGGAAAAAAACTCTTTCTTGCTTCATGCCAAAACTAACAACTTTATTTTCTGCTCGGTCTGTGTTTCAAATTATTCCAAAATGCAAACTTCAGAACATTTCTTAAGTTGTGGACTGGTGTCTGAGTTTTCCCATTATACTGGATTTTTATTTCTGGGATGAGTAATGGGTATTAGGGAATTTCCCGGCCCAGCATACCAACTTCGGGAGAATGTGCCAGCAAATGCGGGATTTTCGTTCTGGGAGAGCGGGTGAAAGCCAGAGTTAGGTAAGCCATCCCCAGAAACAGTTCTTGGCATACAGAGGGACTGTCAGGAACTGAGCCAATCTTATTTAAAAGGCCCACCTCAACACTCAGGGATTTAATCAGTAAAACAAAGAACACAGCTATCAGACATCACACTTCCTCAAACATCCCACACACTTCCTGTGCCCTGTAACTCTCCCCATTATCCCTCATAACCTCCATGCCAAGCCTTTTCAATGTTTCACTATTGAACCAATGAATACTATAATAACAACAGTAAATGTGAAAAAAAAAGCTTTTTTTAAAATGGAAACATTAATTCATAACATTCAACTTTTTCAAAAAATAAACTGTTTTACTATTGGCTTATAAAAGTATCAATCACCTGGATGTTTAAAGAATCAAGAGGAGAAATGACAAGCACCTGAAACTTCTTTATCCGTTTAATAAATATTGTGCAATTGACAGAATAGATCAAATAGCAAAAGCTGTGAACCAAGCAATGCTTTCACAAGGGGGCAGCTGATTCAACTGTCTAATGTGTGTCTAATCTTTCACCCAAGCCTCACTAGCATTATTGGCATTGGTTACTATGAAAGGTATGAAGCGTCTTGGGTGAGGGATGGAAGGACATAGATTGGTATGTGGGGCACAGGTAAAACTTTTGAACTTCTGTTTTAAGAAGTTCCTTCATTCAGGCAATGGATCACACACCTCTGAGGGACCATGGATTCATGAACTGTGAGTCCTTTAAGTCCCAGGCTTGATGCCACAAAAATTGTTGAGGGCTAGGATATTCCTAATCCTGAAGTGGAGCCAGTCACGTCAGTAGTGCACAGTGTGGGCTTGCAAACCACCACACCCTTAACCCACACTTGTGAAAACTGAGGATACCGGAGATGGATCCAGGAAGCCCAGTATCAAGACCCATCTTTATTTCTACACCTTCGTAAAGTTCCTGATGAAAATCCAGCCAATTAGCTGTGAAGCTGACAGTGCTGGATCACTGTAAATAGACTTCAAAAAGATTAGCATCCATATGTCTTGCAGTTCCTTCTATCATGCTCTTAGAAATACAAGAGACAATTTTAATTTAACTTGTGATTTAGGAAATGGATGTGATTGCATGTAATGCTGTTTTTGCATCCTACCCCATTCTAGTCCCCATTGAGTATATCCCTTGCAAGTTAAGTTAAAATTATTTTGATAATTTCTAATTGTGCATTCCTTCCTAATCACACAGTATATTTAATGTAATGGTTAAAGATGACAAGACTATTAGATTATAAGACTATTTTTCTGTAGAACAAAGAATTTCTTAGAGGTAGCCATTATAAAAAATGTGTACGTAAACAGTCACCAGACCATTTTAGACACTGTGAAAAGGTTTGAAATTAATGTTTTATTTCATATTCTTTTCTGAGGCTGTGCTAAACACTTTAATTCCCTTAGTCAAACTGTATGTGTTAATATCCTGGTACCATCCATAAAAATGTTTCATCTTAATTGAGTTTCAACCACAAATAATTGTCTCAGTATCAGCAGAATAATTATCTTATGGCTTCCATTTTGACACTTGACAAAGCACATTTTCAGTCAAGTCTTTTTTTGGAATAACATGACATATAGAAAACACTTTCTGAAGAAGGGTCTAGGCCTGAAACGTCAACCTTCCTGCTCCTTTGATGCTGCTTGGCCTGCTGCGTTCATCCAGCTCTACACCTTGCTATATAGAAAACAATTTCTGTTTCCATCATGCAAAGGTAAAAATGTACTAGGGACATGTCATTATAAAATACTATATAATGCTGAAGAATGTATTGATGCAATTATCCGGTACTTTATCATTTCAGTCTTGTTAAAACTGCTCTATCAGCAATCAGACTAATAACAGTAGTGCGAAATATCTGAATTCTTGCAGAAAGCAAGAAAATCAATAATTTATGGGCCATTAACTGGGAATTTTTGAATAACCTTAATAAGAATAAGTCTTTAACTTATGCCAGAAAGAGTTAAATGAATGTCCTTGAAACAGGAGCGGCAACAGCTCATGTTTTATTCCCCTGCATTGTGAGGTAATGATACAACTTTAGACTAGGCAAGCTAAGAATGTCAGTGAAATCCTTTGAGGAAAGTAAGATTAATGAACCTCATATCATTCACTGTTAATTCTAGATCTATTGAAAATCAAAAACATTATTATGTATTTAAGTGTATTGTGCGTTCGTATTAAATACAAGAACACTTCTGATTTATTGAATATTTTATTGTTAGGTGCCAATGACCCAGGGTTCTCAAGGGATGTCTCAACAATCCTATCCACAAGCTATCATGCTACCCAACCAGTCAGGTCAAGGAACACTTCCAACCACTGGAATGCCTGTCTATTGTAATGTTATACCTCCTTCTCCACAAAACAACTTAAGGTTGGTAGCACCCCACTGTCCTACCAATAATGTACCAGTGATCCCTGCGAACTGCAGAACAAACTGTACTAGTATTAGCAGCCCTGGATGGCAGGTTAAATATTGACACTGGCTCTGTGTGAATAAAATAATGTCAAAATGCATTTTTTGGACATAGTAACTATGGCCTTCACAAAAAAATGGAACATCAGTTGAGGAAATAGAGTGTTATGTTCTCAGTCGATCACTGCTGGTATTCTGTTTCAAAAAAAATACAATTCTGAAAATGTTTGCTGGTTTCTGGTGCATTTTAGTCATGTCCCTGCTAGGTATGCCTTTGTAGCTTAGCTGAGTGACATGGATTATCTGAGGTCAGACCTCTCCCTACAACTGAGCACCACTGTGTAGATTGTAATACCCCAATACTGATTAGTTTTGTACTTCGTGTTGAGTTTGTGAAACTGAAAAGTATTACAATTATTATAATAAAATACACATTGTACCAAAGCTGAAATGGAAAGAATTGCTGTATGGAAGGAATAATTTATATACACTAGAGTTTTTTTATGGATATATACTGTATTGTAGTGTTTAATCACAATAAAACTATTTGACCTCATGGGTAAAGGTCACATTTCTACCATGTGAGTTGTCTCTTCTCTTGATACTATAATTTGTTGAGTACCAGTTTAAGTATTTTTGACAGTAGCTCAAACTTTGTTCACAAAGCAACTGCTAACTCATTTTGTACTGAAACCTCAACTGTTACTGAACTAACACTGAGACTGCAAACCTGTTTACACTGCAATTACTGTACTGCAAAATTATATGTCTCATGCTTCCAGTTTTAAGTCAATTGTGCATCAAAATAAATAGTTGCAAGACTGATTAGATAGACTAATTTTCTCCATCTCTAAGATGTGTTATTGAATGCAAGCTAAATTTAATGAATCCCATACAAACAAAATATGAAAAATACTTAATGTGAATGTTACATTAAGAAGATTGGTATTTTTTTAATATAATGAGTAAATATCTTGGAACACAATGATATTGTAATAATGCTAATGCAACTTGTGTGATGTGATTTAACTTTTCAATTGAGAGCAAAGATTCTCGTGTTAGAAATTGTTGCAAATACTTGCTGAACTTTCTATTGCTTCAGAAAGTTTTACTGTGATCCATCCAAGGGCACATTTGTTTGTAGGCAAAATCTCTTAAGCTTTCCTAATTGTTCTAAGTGATCCAATTGATTTAGTCCTAAAGTTTGAATTGTGTTATTTTGAGCTACAACTGGACAACATATTTAAACGGAAATATTTGGAACTGCAGATGCTGGAGAATCTGAGATACCAAGGTGTAGAGCTGGATGAACACAGCAGGCCAAGCAGCATCAGAGG